TGATATGCTATGACCAGGCTAGAGTTAATAACAGTGATGCTAGGTTGGTTCAATACTAGGAAAATTATAAACATAATGCAATAATCATCAAAGCAATTTGACATTGATTAAGAAATTGAGATGGTCTGTTGAGTTTTGTTTCATCTTTCTGATGGTTCCTCCTATTGGTTTTAATTTTTACTTACAACTTCACTAATGTGAAAATATGTTTAATAGGAATGTAAATGTAAAGCCTATATCAGACTGTGCACCAATGGGGGGGGAGGAAGGGGGAGAAAAATTTTCAGCTCAAAAGTATATGGAAGTGATTGTTGATAAATCAAAATAAATTAATAAAATTTAAAAAACCTTTAAAAAAAAAGAAATTGAGAAGGTGATTGGTGGAATAAATTAGGTACACAATAAATAGAAGCAAAAAGGATAGTAGCCTGGTGTTTGATAAACACAAAGTTCTCAGCTATTGCAATAAAAACTCACTATTAAATTTTTTAAAAACTGTTGGGAAAAAGGGAGAACAGTCTAGAGGAAATTAGGTGTAGGTCAACATTTCACAGCGTATAACAAGAGAAGCTACAAATGAGTACATGACTTAAACATGAAGGGTGATATAGTGAACAAATTAGAGGAGCAAAGAAGAAATCATCTGTAAGATCTAAGAATAGGGAAAGAATTCATGACCAAACAAAAGAAAAAGAGGGTCACAAAAGATAAAATGGACAATTTTGATCATAAAAATTTTTAAATGTTACACAAAGAAAACCAATGTTAAGGCAGCTAGGTGGTGCAGTGGATAGAGCACCAGCCCTGGAGTCAGGATGACCTGAGTTCAAATCCAGTCTCAGACATTTGACGCTTACTAGCTGTGTGACCTTGGGTAAGTCACTTAACCCCATTGCCTGCCCCCCCCCAAAAAAGAAAGAAAACCAATGCAGCAAAAACCAGAAGAGAAGCAAGTAAATGGGAAAAGATCTTTACAGCAAGTTTCTCTGATAAAATTCTCATTTCTAAGATATATAGGGAACTTTAAATTTATAAGAATAAGAGCCATTCCCCAACTAATAAGTGGTCAGAGTATATGAATAGGTAGTTTTCAAAGGAAAAAATCTAAATTATCAATAGCTACATGAAAAAGTGCTCTAAATCACTAATCATTAGGAAGATGCAAATTAAAATAACTCTGAGATTCCACCTCATACCCATCAGATTGGAGAAGTTGACAAAAAAAGGTTAATGGCAGGTATGCTATGGAACTACAGCTAAAAAAGCTATTAAACTGTAAATACCTTCTGACCCAGCAATACCACTACTTAGGTCTATACCCCAAGAAAATCAAAGAAAGAGGAAAAGGATCTATATTTATAGAAGCTCTTTTTGTGGTGGCAAAGCATTGGAAACTGAGGGAGTATCCATCAATTGGGGAATGGCTGAATGGTATATGAATGTAATGGAATATTATTGTGCTATAAGAAATGATGAGCAGGCAGACTAAACCTGGAAAGACTTGTATGGACTGATGCTGAGAGAAGTGAGCAGAACCAAGAGAATGTTGTACACAGTAACAGCCACGTTGTGTGATGACTAATATTGATAAACTTAACCCTTCCTAGCAATACAAGGATCTAAGACATCTCCAAAGGCCTTGTGATGGAAAATGCTATCCATAAAGAAGAAAGAACTATGGGGTTTGAATGCAGATTGAAGCATACTATTTGCTTTTTTTTTCTTCTGTTGTGTTTTGTTTCCTCTTTCTGGTGGTTCCTCCTATTGGTTCTAATTCTTACTTACAACATCACTAATGTGAAAATATGTTTAATAAGAATGTATATGTATAGCCTATATCAGATTGCATGCCATCTAGGGGAAGGGAGGGGGAGAAAAATTTAAAACTCAAAAGCTTGTGGAAGTGATTGTTGATAATTCAAAATAAATTAATAAAAAAAATCTGTACCTTTTAAAAAAAATAAAATCTGGCTCCATCCTACATTTCTAGTATTATTTCACATTATCCCCCTTCATGCCCTCTACATTCCAGTCACACTAATGCATTGTTGGTACAGTTATGAACTGATCCAACTATTGTGGAAAGCAATTTGGAACTATGCCCAAAGGGCTAAAACTGTACATACGTACCCTTTGACCCACCAATACCACTACTAGGTCTGTATCCAAAAAAGATCATAAAAATGGGAAAAGGACCCACGTGTACAAAAATATTTATAGCAGCTCTTTTTGTGGTGGCCAAGAATTGGAAACTGCACCAGTTGGGGAATAGCTGAACAAGTTGTGGTATATAAATGTAATGGAATACTGTTGTGCTATAAGAAATGATGAGCAGGCAGACTTCAGAAAAACCTGGAAAGACTTATGTGAACTGATGCTGACTGAAGTGAGCAGAACTAGGAGAACATTGTACACAGTAACAGCCACATTGCACAATGATTAACTTTGATAGACTTAGCTCTTCTCAGCAATGCAAGGATCTAAGACAACTCCAAAAGACTCATGATGGAAAATGCTGCCCATATCCAGAGAAAGAATTATGGAGTCTGAATGCAGATCGAAGCATGCTATTTGCTCTCTTTTTTTGTTTGTTTTATTTTGTTTCTTCTTTCTCGTGGTTCCTACCATTCATTTTAATTCTTCTTTACAACATGACTAATGTGAAAATATGTTTAAAATGAATGTGTATGTAGAGCCTATATCAGATTTGCATGCTGTCTTGGGGAGGAGGGAGGGAAAGGAGGGGGAGAAATTTTAAAACTCAAAATCTTATGGAAGTGAGTGTTGAAAACTAAAAATAAATTAATGAATTAAAAAAATAAATAAAAGCATATTTCTTCATGGCAGAGAAGCAAGGGACTTTTAGGATGGAATACTGCATATATTATCAGACTTGGTTCTTGAATTGTTCTTTTAGCATAATTGTTTTTCTTTATCACAAGGGAGAGTTCAGCTTTCATTCCTCTCCACATTCCACTTCTAACTCTCTGGACTTTCTCTACCATGTCACAGAGACTTCCCCACCCTGGAAGAACACTCCATCCCTCCAGACCCTTCTTCCATTTGGCTAGTTCTTCCCAGAACCTCCATTTTAAGGAGAATATCCAGGCCAGTGAGAGCTTCCTTCCTCCCCAGCCTCAAATCCTGATTCTCTGGATTTTCTCTACCAGTCCCCCTTTCTCTTACCTTTCTCTTCTTCCCACCTTGGTTTTTCAGCTTCCTCTTCTGTGTTACTTTTCCTCATGAAAATCCACGTTCCGTTGAGGGCAGGGACTATCTTTCTTTCTGCTTATATTTGTGATCTAAGAGCTTAGCCCAGTGCCTGGCATATGGTTAGCATAGCTGACTGACTTGACTTGAGGCTAGAGAGAGAGACTGAAAGGACTGTGATGTAGTAAAGAGAAAAGGCATCAAGAAAATATATTTTAACTAGCTGAAATAGTTAACAACTTTAGCAAAGTTTCAGGATATAAAATAAACCCACATAAATTATCAGCATTTCTATATATTGCCAACAAAGTCCAACTATAAGAGATAGAGAAATTCAATTGAAAATAACTGCAGACAATATAAAATACTGTCAAGACAAATCCAGGAACTATCTGAACACAAGTATAAAACATGTTTCACAAAATAAAGTTGGATCTAAACCACTGGAAAAATATTCATTGCTCATGGGTAGGCTGAGCCAATATGATAAAAATGACAATTCTATCTAAATTTATTTACTTATTCAATGCCATACCAATTGAACTACCAAAAATATTTTATGGAGGCAGAAAAAATAACAAAATTCATCTGGAAGAATATTAAAGGAATCAATGAAAAAATATGAAGGAAAGTGGCCTAGAAGTACCAGATCTCAAACTGTATTGCAAAGTGGCAATCATCAAAACAATCTCATATTGTACCACATCACACCTATCAGACTGGCTAACACGACAAAACGGGAAAATGATAGATGTGGAAGAAGATGTGGGAAAATTGGAACACTAATGCATTGTTGGTGGAGTTGTGAACTGATCCAACCATTCTGGAGAGCAATTTGGAACTATGCCCAAAGGGCTATCAAACTGTACACACCCTTTGACCCAGGAATACTACTACTAGGTCTGTATCCCAAAAAAGATCATAAAAATGGGAAAAGAACCCACGTGTACAAAAATATTTATAGCAGCTTTTCTCGTGGTGGCCAAGAATTGGAAACTGAGGGGATGCCCATCAATTGGGGAATGGCTGAACAAGTTGTGGCATATGAATGCAATGGAATACTATTGTTCTATGAGAAATGATGAGCAGGCAGACTTCAGAAAAACCTGTAAAGACATACATGAAGTGATGCAAAGTGAAATGAGCAGAACCAAGAAAACATTGTACCCAGTAACAGCAATATTGTTATGGTGATCAACTATTGCTGTTCTCAGCAATACAATGATCCAAGACAGTTCCAAAGGACTCATAATACAAAATGCTATCCACATCCAGAGAGAACTGATGAACTTTGAACGTGGATTGAACCATATTTTTTCTACGAACTTTATTTTTCTTGGGGTTTTTTGTCTGTGTTTTCTTTTACAATATTACTAATACAGAAATGTGTTTTGCTAGACTGCATATGTATAACCTAATTCAAATTGCTTGCCTTCTCAATGAGAGAAAAGAGAGGGAGAGAAAGAATTTGCAAATCAAAATTTAAAAAAAGAATGTTAAAAATTGTTTCCATGTAATTGGGGGGAAAAAAGAAAATACATTTAAAAAAATAGAATAAGACCCAGAAGGAAGCTTAGAGATCATCTAATATAATACTATTATTTTACAGAAGGAGAAATGGAGATTTGGAGGGAAAAAAAGGGATTTGCCAAAGATTATATGAGGTCGGAGGTATAGCTGGGAAAAGAGCCTGAGGCTTTCTAAATCTCCATCCAGAGCAAAGATCTTCATGATGAAAAGTCAAGTGAGAGAACTCTAGATGGTCCTGATGAGGTCATGCCTAGTGAGGTCACAATATCCCCTACCCAGGTTGTTGGAGGAGGAATATAGAGGACAGCCCCAGAGGACAAGGTAAAGCTCAAGATGGGTCCTGGACCATAATGGGAGCATATAGGGAGCCAAAGCCACAGCTGCTACCCACAATGGGGAACTACAACTCCCGAAAGAAAACCAAGGCTCCCAAGCAGGCATGGAAGGGGAAACCCCTAGCCACGGAAAAGCCCAAGAAGAAGTCCTTCTTTGGCCACTTGAAGAGAAAGTCAAGTGTGAGTGTCTGGGAGAGACCCAGCCCACTGAACCACTGGGGGAGGCTAGAGGACACCCCTAGCTCTTGGTTCCTGGCTGCTTTCCAAGCCTGGTCTGAAGATGGAAATTTTGTGCTCTGAGCCCCTAGCTCATACCCAGGGAAGGGCACAGTGGGCCCACAGTCTGCCCCCATGGACTGATCCCTTCGCCTCCAATGCCAGGGCTGGTGAATTCCTCTCTGCTCAGGAATAAAGAGGAGAGAAGTCTTAGGAATGCACCAGAAACCAGCCACATGAAACCCTAGGTCCTTTTGGGTTCCAGCCCCCAGTTTATTTCCTCTGCAAAATAGTAAGGGGACCCAGCCTCTGCTAGATGCACGGAAGATTCACCAGCTTTACTCTTTCTTCTCCACAGCCCAAGATTGTACTGCTCCTGCCCTTGGACAAGAGGAACCAACTGGCAGAGATCAGCATGGCCCCTGGATCTGGGGCTAGGAGGCCCGAGGATGAGGCTGGGGCAACAGCAGCACCAGCAGCCTCCTCACTGAGAGGTGCAGGTGACGGGACAGATCTCCGGGAGGGCTCTCCAGCTCGGGAGATGAAGATTTTGGTATTCCTGCTGCTACTGGATACCCGCCTCCAGGATGAGTGATGGGGAGCGGATGGTAGCACCAAGTGGGCCCAGGCCTGGCAGCACCCTCCACTGGCTGAGAATGAGGCTGAGGGTGAGGTGGAGGACCAGCCGCAGCCTGAGAGGCGCTGGCACCAGACCCTCTCCCAGTGCTGAGCCTGAGCAGGGCAGCAAGGACAATAAAGACCATGGAGCATTCAGGTGGCTGGCCAAGGCTGGTGTGTCGCCGGGATGGCTCTAGGGCACTCGGGGGCAGCCCCCCCCCCCCAGTGTGGGCCTGTGGCAATAAAAGCATGGAAATGGGGAGGGCTGGGACGAGGGGTGACCGTCCCTCATTCCCTCTCTACCTCCCTACCAGAGTGAGGTCGAAAGAGGGGGTCAAGACACAGAGCCTGGAAATCTTAGGATCACAGACAGCTTAGAAGTCATCCGTTCCAACTCCTTTGTTTTACAGATAAAGAAACGGATCCAGAAAGATCCTGACTTGCCCAAGATCACACAGGTGATAAGGAACTGAGTTAAGATTTGAACCCAGGTCTCCTGACCCCAAATCCAGCTCTCTTTTCCACTGTTTCCTCTCTTGCATAAGTACCTTGCATAAGAGCCCAGAAAAAAAGAAGAGAATATCCCATTGCCTGGGAGTGAGTGGCAAAACTAGGAGGAGAATCCAAACCTCCAAGGCTCACGCTTCACTGTTCCTCAGAATTGCTAAGAAATTATGGCCACTAGGTGGCGCTGTAGATAAAGTGCCAGGCCTGGAGTCAGGCAGACTTACGAGTTCAAATTCAGCCTCACCCACTTACTCGCTGTGTGACCCTGGGTAAGTCACTTAATTCTGTTGGCCTCCATTTCCTCATCTGTCAAATGAAAAGGAAGTGGCAAACCACTCCAGTATCTCTGCCAAGAAAAGCCCCAGTGGGGTCACAAAGAACAGCAAACAAGGCTAAGGTCTCTTGGGGGCATAGTAGATGGACGAAGTAGAAACCGTTCCAGGCTGAGCCAGCCCAACCGAGCACGGCATCCACTACGGCCTCCGGCCTCCCTTCTCCTCTGTCTACACTCTCCTTCCTTAGGGCTCTCAGCCTCTGCCATGGCTGGAGCAGAGAGAATTCCCAAATCCATCTCTGCAGCCCCAGTTGCTCTCCCAAGCACCAAGTCTCCGTCTCCCTGCAGGGCATCTCCACCTAAATGTGTCATATACATCTCAGACTAAATTTGCACAAGACCAAAATTCTTATTGTTCCCCAAAGAAGAAGGAAGAAAAGCAAACTCCCTGACTGGTTCTGTCAGTGACACCGGCATTCACCCAGTCTGGGAATCTTGGAGTCCTCTTCCCTTTAGCTCTTCCCTATCCAGCGAGGTGGGGCCATAGTGCACAGAGGGTCTGAAGGGAGGAAGACTCATCCTCCTGAGTTCAAATCAAGCCTTAGACATTTTGCTAGCTGTGTGACCTCAGGCAAATCACTTACCTCTGTTTGCCTCAGTTTCCTCATCTGTAAAATGAGGGGGAAGAGGAGTGGCAAACCACTCGAGTATCTCTGCCACGAAGTGTCGGACGTGACTGAATCAACACAGCCACAAACAACAGACCCAGTAGGTCACCACTTCCTATCGATTCTGCATTGACAGTATCTTATGGATCGCTTCTCTCCTTTTCCATTCTCACCACCCAGGCCGGGCCCTCTCATTTTTCGTGTATACTGTTGAAACAGCCTCCCTGCCAGTCCCCTTGCCCCAGTCTAGTCTCTCCAATTCATCCTTTACATGCTGCCCAAATAACCTTCCTAATACTCACGTCTGACCGTTTCACTCCCCTACTCAAAAGCCTTCAGCAGTTTCCTATTGCCTCTACGATAAAACCCAAACTCATCATAGTCTGAGATCTGAGGCACTCTGCTACTGTTTTTATCCCCTGCTGCTTGCCTTGTGCTTTAGCTCAAAACTGGGCTCCTCACTGTCTCCCCAAACAAGGCTTCTACTTTCTCATTCCCCTGCTCTTACTCACACCATTCCTCTGCCTGAAAGGCCTTCTCCGGCCCAATCTGCGTAAATCCTATTGGTCTTTCAAGGCTCCTCTTCTCAGTTAAGCTTCAGCTGACCACCGCAGCCCAAAGTCCTCTCTTGAAATGAACGCACAAATCTTGTGTGTTCCCGTCACTGGGCAGGGCCCAGCCTACCCCAATCTTCAGGCATCATTTCACATTTACCTCCTGTGTCTCCACCAGTGGAATTCCCCTGGCTCCCACCAGTGAGACAGCCTTCAGAAGGTCTACCTTTCCGGGGTGCACCTGAACAAGCCACACAGCCTCTCTCTGTGCAGGCAGCGAGAGTGGGCCAGAGGAGAATGGGAATGTGGGATGGGGGATAGTGGTCTGTAGAGACGGTAGAGAGGGCTGGATTCTGATGGGCCTAGCCCAACCCTTGAGGTCACAATCCCTCTAGCTGCTCCCATTCCCTCCCTCTTTCCTTCAGCCTATTATCAGGCTGAGGTACCTTGAGTAGGAGGGGAGAAGGTATGAACAAAGGGGAAAAGCAAGGGAAGGCTTAGGCCAGGTCCCAACCCTGGAAATATAAATATAGGCATAGCTACAGCATAAGGGTGGCTAGGTGGCACAGTGGATAGAATTCCAGGCCTGGAGTCAGAAAGACTCATCTTCCTGAGTTCAAATCTGGCCTCAGACATTTACTAACTGTGTGATCCTGGGCAAGTCACTTAACCCTGTTGGCCTCAGTTTCCTCATTTCTAAAATGAGCTAGAGAAGGAAATGGCAAACTACTCCAGTATCTCTGCCAAGAAAACCCCAAATGGGCTTATGAAGAATTGGATACAACCAAAAACAACCGAACACTAATAGCATAAGGCAGAGAAAGGCAGTGGGAGTGAGGGCCAGGAGCTGCTCCGGCCCTAGGGACCAAATAGCAAGGTACGTAATAGCTCACGGGGGCTTCGTTCCATGGTTGGTCCACAGAAGGGAGTGACTGATGTGACCAGCCCCTAGCAATTGCCTCCCATGCAGGGAGAAGCTACTGTTTCCTCCACATTGCCCTCTGGGCTCTGCTGCTTCCTGGCCCCTCCATCTTGGTCCTTACCCAATCTTTGCCTGGCCCTCTAGCCCAGTTTCTACAATCTGGCTTCATCCCCTCATCCCTCAACTGGAATTGTTCTCTCCTAGGTCACCAGCGACTTTCCTGAAGCACCAAATAGTAGGGTTGTGGATTTAGATCTAGCAAGGACCGAGTCCAATCCCTTCAGTTTATAGATGGGGAAACTGAGGCCCATTGAGGGTAAGCGACCTACCCAAAGTCATACAGGTAATGTCAGATGTGGGATTAGGAACCCAGGCCTTCTGGGTCCTGAGCCAGTCCTCTCTTCTCCATACAGCGCTGTAGTCTCCGTCTTCCCTAACCTTTCTGCAGCTTTTGACAGCGTCAGCTCCTCACCCATTGGCTACACTTTTCTCCCTAGGCTTCAGCTGACACCACAATCACTCGGTTCTCCTCCTTGTCTGACTCCATTTCCTTCTCAGTCTTCTTGGATGGCTTATTCTCCTAAATATCCCTTTATTATGGAGCCAACCACTCATGTTTCCCAAGAATCAATCCACAGTTGTCATAGGATTTAGAGCCACAAGAGATTTCAGTGACCTTCTGGTCCAGCCTCAGCCCCTTAGAGATGGAGAGGCAGAGGGCTAGACTTGGGTGACTTGCCCAGGATCACAGAGGCTCCTGCCACATAGCACAGAAGTCCAGAACGTGCTGACTCCAGATTCGGTGCCCCTTCCTCTATGCCGTCCTCAGGCCTCTCCTCTAACTCCTCCCTTAGCAATCTCACGCCCTCCACAAATGAACGAGCATTTTCTGAATGCTTCCTAAGTACTAGGCATTCTGCTAGGAGCTAGAGGCACAAAGGAAAACACTCCATGCCCTTGAGGAGCTTTCATTCCATGCAAGATGCCTCCCAGTTTATATTTTCGGCCTCAACCTTTTTTTCCTAAGCTCCAGATCTGCAACTCCAAGTTGCTGTTCAGTCACCTCTAACTCTTTGAGACCCCATGGACAATATGTCAATGCTGGCCGTGGGGTTTTCTTCGCAAAGATACTGGAGTGATTTGCCATTTTCTTCTCCAGATCATTTTACAGATGAGGAAATTGAGGCAAACAGGGTTAAGTGATTTGCCCAGAGTCACCCAGCCAGTACATGTCTGAGGCTGGATTTGAACTCAGATCCTCCTGACTCCAGGTCCACTGAGCCATCTAGCTGCCTCCTTCAGAAGAACCCTTACCCGGATGTTCCACCAACCTCTCAAACTCAGCACCTCCCCAACCATCCCCCTCTATCCAATATAACATCACTATTTCTGTTTGTAGCACCACTAGCTATCTACTCCCTCATGTCTGAAAAACTTGAGGTGTGACCTTTGATCCTTCCGTCTCTTTAACCCCCCATGTCCAGTCAGTCCACCAAGCCTTGTGGACTCCATCTCTGTGGCATCTCTTATGTGTGTTCTCCCCTCTGTAGTCCCATTGCTACCATCCTATATGGGTTTTCATTAATGCTCACCCAGACTATTATAATAGCTTCTTTGCAGGGCTTCCTTCCATTTTGCTCTTTCTTCCTCCTGGGCCATTATCCGTGTCATAGATCTGGTCATGTTTACTCTTTTTCTCAAAAATCTTTAGATCAAACTCTTCTGTGTTGGCGTTCAGAGCCCACCACCTTGCCTTTCCAGCCTTAACCTTCATTACTCCCCTGTACACTCTCTACATTTCAGCCAACATGGCCAACTCCCCTAGCCCTTCTCTCAATTCCCCTTTCCTTGCCCTGCCCTAGGCCCCAGGATGGGCACTACTTCTCTTTCCTTTATTTGTTGAATCCCTGGCCATACTTTAAAGTCCCACTCACGTAACAACTCTTGCATACAGCCTTCCCTCATCCTTCCCCCCTTCTCTCGAGCTCTTATCACATGATACTGTCCATGACAGAGCTACCTTTGAAGGCATCTTATCCTCATCCTAGATTGTAACCCTCCTGTCTTCAATAAGCTTTGTATCTCCCTAGCTCCCAGCATAATACTCTGCACGTAGTTGTTGCTGTTTGGTGATTTTTTCATTTGTGTCTGACTCTTCGTGACCCCATTTGGGCTTTTCATGGCAAAAGATACTGGAGCGGTTTGCCATTTCCTTCTCCAACTCA